TTTTCTGTTGCATACTAACTTCTTTTTGCATCTTCCTAGACGGCATTGAAAAGAGTGACCTACTTTTGGCACAAGCTTGTGAGGTGAATGATTGCATTAAATAGTGCAAGTAAAGACTATATAAGACTGGTATGGCTTTGGGATGTGTTGGGAGGCCATTTTATATAAAATAATTCCCATTTGTTAACCCTATTAAATGCTTAAACCTACAGGCGCATGCATTCAAACAGATTTGTTACCATGTGGGTACAGTAACAGTGTTGAATGGAGTTAACTTAAGTATTGTTATTTGTATATATGCTGTTGTTTGAAGATTTGTAAGATGAATGTTTTTTGTTACTTTAAAAGTGTTACTGCAAGGAAAGATAAGTGTAACTGGTATGGCTTGGGGAGGGGGTGAGGCCACATCTCATAGTGGAAGATTACCTATGTTTTCTATACTTTAGGAATAGAATTTATGGGGTTTTTTTTAATATTTATCTCAAGGTCCATTATAACTTGCCACGTTGTTGTATTTTAAGGCAGAAATATTACAGAAGAATAAACACTCTTGAAATATTACATTGTGTTTTGTCCATTATATATGACAATAATAATGATAATATAATTATCAAAAATTAATAAATCAATGAATTAATGAATGATAAATAAAATAAAAAAATAGATAAAAGCGGTGGACCTACGTCGGCCCACCAGCTACTTGTCGCCGGTGGGCCGACGTTGGGCCGCTCAAGCTGTATGTCGCTGGTGGGCCAACGTTGGACCGATGGTCAGGCCAACGTAGGCCCACCGGCGACAGTAGCTGGTGGGCCGACGTAGTTGGAGTCGGCGGCCCAACGTCGGCCCACCGGCGACATGCTNATTCCTCGTGTTAATACATGAGTTAAGATATAAATACAGCAACAAAAACAACTAAAAGATCATGATCAGTCGTTGAAAATCTCTCTGGTTATACAATTACTTATACTGAAAGCTGACATGTGGTAGTTTTCTTGAATTTTTTCAATTTGTCCGGATGAAGCCCAGACAGTGAGCCAAAAATTCCTGAAGGTCATTGGCTTATATGAAGTACTACCGGTTATATTGACTCAGCATAAGATGTGTTACAAGTATAAGATAAGATAGTTTTGTGGGGCGTGCCAAACAGGTTAATTATATTTGGTCTTATCTCTCTCTCGGGGATAATGAGTGACTAATTAGTGTGATCTTAATTGCCAGGATATAGGGTTGAGAAGATAGTGAAGTGGGTGCATGTGTTACATAATGTTTTGGGGATGGGGTTCAGGTAAGGTCAGAAAGACAAGGAAAATACCAGTATATGCCTTTGTTATATGTCTTAGTATAAAACCTTGGAATTTTTTTTCATTTTGCATATTTGTACCTCTTTTTGTGGAAGCTAAAACATGTATATGCCCTTTAAAATGTCCTTGATTTTGTAACAAAAGAAAACCATATACCAGGAAGGTCATTGACCCAAATGGGGTGATATGTACGGGGAGTGGTTCACAGGTACTTATATACTATGAAACAGCTGTTGTCAAGTAATTCTAATACAAATAAGTTTTTTGTCCCATATTTTTTTTTACCAATGTTAACATGTTGGCTTTGTTTTTTACTACTGTGTGTGCTTGAATCTGTAAAAGTGACTTTATCTAGGATAATAGTGAAATTTCCCCCTTAACCCAATGGCGTCCTTGACTTTATCTAGGAAAACAGTGAAATTGCCTCCCTAACCTAGTGACTTGTCCTTGACTGTTTAAGTAAGGTTGTTCATTTAACCTTCAAAGGTATAAGTAGGCTATATTGGGATGGAATGCTTCTCTCACCTTATTTTATCAATGGGGAGTAAAAATAAATTAAATGTCAATTTGTAACACTGTGAAGTGATCTTGGCTGTAGGGAAAGGGAGGGGGGTGATTGGATGAAAAGGGTGATTTCTCACAAAAGCAAGTCTCCCCAAATATCAAAGTAATCTAAAGTGAATTATGATTTGTCCACCAGGGAATTCTACCAGGCCTGGCATTTTTCCAAGACCAAAATTGTATACCTGGAGAAGGTGGAAAGAGGTACTTTTTGTGCCCAGTGGTGGATTTATTTTCAGGGGACTCTCCCCATATACTATTGATAATTTGAAACAAGCAGTGATTTAAGGTATATGTCCACAAAGCAGAATTATGTAGTAATATGATCACATTTAAGTGGGGGAGTCTATATACATGTACTCATGTGTTCTTAGCAAATCCCAATTTTTATGTAACAGATATGTTTATCACCTTGTAATGTTTTGAAGTATGCCTCTCTCCTTTTCTATTTCTGCACTGAGGTATAAAAGCCATGGTTATATGATATAAATATAATGCTATTTATATTACCAGCATGTTGTTGTTTAGGTACACAAGTGCAGTAAGTCACTTTCTTGTTACTGCATTGCTCAGTTGGACTATAAAAAGAATTGAGGCAGCCCTTTTTTTTGGGGGGGGGGGGGAGGGGGTGTTGTCATGAAATTATTTTTCTCACTCAGTTTTATATACCAGAAGACAAGCTGATTCTAAAATCTGCATATATCTGTTTTCCCCATAAATTGTACTTTTATCACTTAGCATAAGCCAGCTTGTCAACAACTGTACACATTCCATATATTACATGTATCACTAGACCAGTGTCAAAATACAATATTTCAGCAGTGCAGTATTTTCATTAAGTGAAAATGTGAAAATTTTAAAGTAAAAAGCTTCTAGTACAGTACTTCACATCATTATATGTTATAACCTGACTACAAGGTAGAGCAGATTTTAGCCTTTTTGCCACTGCATTTACAAAGTATGTTGTTAGTACAAAACAAAATATAAAAGACCTGCCTAGGCAGAATAAAGGCATTTGTTATGCTTTTGTTACAAAGGAATTCAATGTTGACAAATGAACAATGTTTTTCTTTATATTGATAAGTTATTTGGCATGGAGGAAGCTTTCAGTCTTTTAAAAGCACGGCATGGATGAAATGTTGGAGGTACACAAAACAAAAAGATTCACAATACAAGTATATGCTTTCATATTTACTATAGTATTCCAAATATAGCTGCAGATTAAAGAGCATTCACAAATATTTTTTAAGTGACTAGAATCTCTGTTGTGTAATATCTGCTTGTATATAAGGTATGCCAATTATGGTCATGAATCAGACAGCTAAATTCATTTGTACGTGGCATATAATTTTCAGAAAATATTACTTCTATTATATATGACCTTCCTGACATTGCCTGAGAACTAAATGTAGTGAAAAAGGAGATTCTTATAGTGTTCAAGGTCATTGAGATAATAAAATGATGGATGCATAGCTTTTACTGTCTGGGTATATGTCTGAAGCATATTTCTTGCCAAGTAATTATTCATGTGGTCTTAGAATGTATGGTTACATGAAAAGGGAGAACACTTGAGGTACCTATGGTGTTTATTTACTTTTTTCAGGGAAATTTTGAATTTTTCGTTTACCAGGTCATTGACAGATTGATAGTTGATAATCAAATAAGATTTATTTTGAAAATTTCACTGATTTCAGTCAATATATTGGAAAGTTAATCAATTTTTTATGCAAACAAAATAATGATTTTTCAAAAATAATATACAAAGTAATATATCAAATAACCATAATAATAATAATAACGATAATGAAATAAAGAAAGATAAATAAAAAGAATAGCACCATAGAAATCAATAAAAGAATAATTAGATGAAGACTAAGTACCTTAGACATGTGCTGCAGAGCAATTATAGTAAGGTATGAAGTCTGACTGGGGTATTATATGCAGCTGTGGTGTACTTGTAATAATTTTAATGATATACCCTAGTCTGTATGTTACGTTCAAGCCTATTAATATGATCCGTTCATTCTCAGTAGTAGTGCACCACGTGGCATGTGCTGTCTGGAGGTATATGACTCATGAGGCGACATAAAGAAGCACCTTCTGTGTGCGAGATGAACTCATTGATTATACAATTTACAACAGTAATGGAGCCACAGCTGCCTTAATTAAGTTGTCTCTACCATGTAGTCAAGGTTATTTGAATATTCTGATAAATCAATAAAAAGTCAGGCTATCATTATTTTTTTTAATGATATCTTCGAAGTAAATGTGGTCCTGAAAAGAAAATGGTGTTATAATAAGTATCACACTGATGTGGTAAGAATATTGATTTAGTACACTGAAAGTAATTGTAATTACATAATATGATAATATTTATTTTTTATATATATTATATAGTACATTCCATTTGTAAATTTATGCATGTCAATGCACTTTACTATATTAATATTAAAAGTCTTAAGTAATAAAATACAGGCTTACTTTAAAAGCTATAATGCATACAGATTAGTCAAATTGGCAATTGATTTGCCTTTGCCTATATTGCAGTCTTTGTGTAGACCGTTTTATATGCCCCTTGCAGTAGAACAGTGAAATCATATTTTTCTAACCTTTTGTATTTTGGTTTTGCACTCAAACATGCGGGACATGCAATTATTTTTCCATCAAGCTCCCGAAGAACCTGCTTGACCTTGACATAGGTTAATTCAACATGAATAGTTTGACTTTTAAATGAATATTTTATTACATGTATTGTTTTATTAAATTTTTGACACGAAGCATTTGCTCTGTTGCCACTTTAAATAGATTAGAAGTAGTATATGTGCAATGTGTCAGATGAAAAATTGGATTCAGTGGCAGTTAAAGTTATTTTCAATGTTCAGAGCTAACTTTTTTTCATCAGTAGAATGAAAGTCATTAATATTTTATTCAATTATGTTGACAGTATGCAAAATATGCATCTCACTGAGATAAGTCCTTTTTAATAAAATTTTATCCCTCACATTGAATGCATAATCTAAAACAATACATATTATACTCTTACTTTTATGAGGAAAACCTGTTGTCTCTGAAATTACATGCTACAAACACTTGATTTATTGAGAGTAAATCCAATTATTTTTTAAATATTGCAGCTGATATATTGTCATGGATGAGGAAGTACAGTTTGTTGAGCATCGTGAGGTGTTCATTGAACACTATGGAGAGGTTCCTATTGTCAAAGGCTCCTTCAATGACATGCCAAAGAATGTACAGGCGTGGGTAGCATCGAAGGTGGGTTTTATCTTGGTATTGTGTGTGTGTGCATGAACATGCAGCAGGCACATACTCAGTACAAGCACATTTGCATGTGTGCATTCGCATGCACACATTTGTTTCTCTAGGATTTTAATGTGCTGTGTATATTTTATCCTAGTTCCGAGTACGCGTATCTAGGTATGTGCTAATATACAGTATTTGTTAAGACAGCCTAGGAATGTAGTATGGTTGCTCTCAAATTATCGTATCTGTATCATAGTTTTTAGTTACAAACAGAAAAGTTACAAACAGAAGTTAAATTAATGTGGTTACAATAAAATTGTGATTTTTGATACGGAAACTCGTCTTCGTGACATATTCATGTCATAAGAGATTTATTTTGTACTTCAGATTGACTTGTGCAAGCCACGTGGTGTGTACATCTGCGATGGTTCCCAAGAAGAGGCCGAAACTATCATCCACAAGCTGGAAGAACGTGGCACTTTGCATAAGTTGAAAGCCTACGAAAATAAGTAAGTTTGTCATTTTATGGCCCATTTCTAAAATTATTTCCATGATTTGTAAATATTGTTTGTATTTATTAGTTATTTTGCTTTGTAGTTTGTTTTTTAAAAATGACTGTATATATTCCTAAAACTGTGTCACTTTGGCAGGTTACATGTTAACAAGAGGACAAAATCAACAAAATTAGTTGTTAGCTGCTCTTCATTTAGTATCTGTACTTTTGTCAGCTTTGTCCTCTTTTTTTTTTTTCATATAAGTGCAATTGATTTTTATTTCTCCAAAGCTACATCTGCAAGACTGACCCCAAGGATGTTGCTCGTGTCGAGGGATTGACCTACATAGTGTCCCATAACAAGCATGACTCAGTGCCCCATGTCAGACCCAACACAAAGGGCATCCTGGCCCAGTGGATGAGCTACGCCGAGGCCGAGAAATTGAATATGGACCGCTGGCCAGGATGCATGGCAGGTCTGTGCACTACAGCATTGTCCCATTCATTGTGATCATGCCTCTTTTATGGATTAGAAATTTTTAAAAATTGTATATCAGGCTTGGGTTTAAATTATTAGACATCTGACATATACGGCAAGATGTCTTGATAGACAATGCATGTTAATTGAAACAAGCCACTGTGAAGTTGAAATGTTATTTGCAGAACAGCATTATCATTGGAAGAACTAAATATAGCTGATGCCTTTTTTACAAACACAACATTGTCATCATGAAAGCAGATAGGTGAAATAAATTTGATCGTGCTCAGTTTAAGAAAAGCTGAAAGTATATTAATGGTTAATAAAGTTTTAAGTATTATAATATTAATGGTCTGACAGCCATCTATATATATAGTAACATTATTAATTAAAACACCTCTCAGTAAAGAATTAAGTGTAATTTTGTAATTTCAGGACGTATGATGTATGTGATTCCATTCAGCATGGGACCTGTGGGTTCCCCCCTGTCGAAAATCGGAGTCCAGGTGACAGATTCCAACTACGTGCTTCTTTGTATGAGAATCATGACCCGTGTCACTCCAAAAGTTTGGGATGTCTTAAAGAAGGGAAAGGGAGACTTTGTCAAGTGCTTGCACTCCATGGGCTCCCCCAGACCTAACCAGAGTAAGTTCATTGTGATTGTCAAATAACACTTGAGGAAGTCTTAATGTCCAACTGATGTATCTCTGTTTAAACTCTAAGTATGTAGGTTCTTACTAATGTTTGTTTGTCTTATGTTCAACATTTGGTTCTTCTTTTTATTCTTACTGTTCTTTGCACCAAACATATTTCAGGGCTTGACATATACTATTTTCAGGAACTTGCCCTGTCAGGCTGGCATGTCTGGAAATCTTATTGCTACACTCCTAAATTAAACTTAAAAAAAAACAAACTTGAATTGGTTTTTCATTTTTTTATTAAATGGTTTTATTGTCACTGTCAGTTTTGTTATTAATGTCTGCCCATTTGACAGCTTTGCTGCCTTGTTTATTTAACTTAATATTCGTTTATGAATCAGATAATTATTTTTATATGCCACTGCTACAGTACCACTAGCATAGGTGCTGGTAGTACACATGGCTTAATCCCAACCTGTCTCTTCCACCAGGGCCCCGTATCTCGAAAGCTTCGCTATGTTGCGCACGTGGGCAAGCGCCTCGATTCCATAACTCACCCATACTCGTCCCATATAATACATTGTAGCCTCTATTTGATATAGCGATTCACAATACGCGATGCTTTCGAAATATGGGGCCCAGCTTCATGGCCACATCACCATTCCCGCTCCTAGACTAGAAGGGCCTGTGTCACCATCTCTTGGATTTAGGTTGCATATAACCTCAACTTGATCCACATAGATTTTGATGCATTGGCCTAGGTGTGGCATTTGTTGCATTGCACCCTTGTTCAAGTTTTGGAAAATAAAATGCTAAATATCTCCCAAACTTTAAAATTCAAAACTGACAGAGATACACTCTAAGTTACTTCTGAATTGAATAGGAAGTCATATTTTGGCAATCTTATTGTGACCTTGAATTTGACCCTTGGCCTACTTTTCACCATCATCTGGACTGATTTTCCAATGCTTATATCTCCAAAACTGTAAAAGATATGCCCATAGCCTTTATCTTTCTTCTCCCCATAAAATACTCTCACCTCATTCACCCAACCCTACTTCTTCACAACTAACACACACACATCCATACCTTCCCCTCAACTTGAATGCACTTACTCCCACTGGTGGTACAAAACCAAGAGGTGATATGGCCTCTCTGATCCTCTAGTAATGTTTTGTTTCATTTTCAGAGGCGGATTGAGACCGTCTTCTGGGTCTTCTGGAAGACGGTCAGATTTAAAAGTTTACATATACAAGTATATATTTTTTTCTGTTGGAAGACCATAAAAAATAGAGGATGGATCTACAAAGATAATTTGGAATACTGTCAGAAAATATCTCTGAATCTGCTCCTGATTTTATTTTAGGGAAGGTGATCAACCACTGGCCCTGTAACCCAGATAAAGTCCTCATTCTCCACTATCCCGAGGAGAGGAAAGTGACCTCATTTGGGAGTGGTTACGGTGGGAACTCGCTGCTGGGCAAGAAGTGCTTTGCTCTGCGTATTGCAGGTGTTATCGCCAGAGATGAGGGATGGCTGGCAGAGCACATGTTGGTACGTAATGTTAGGAACTAGAGGGGCACTCAGAGGGGAACAGACTTATGCCAGGATCTGTAACATGCAAAGAATTCTATTGGGAAAATTCACGAATCCGTGAGATGTAGAAATGACCGTTTTGAAGCTTTCTTAAAAAAATTAATTTAAATCCATCCACTTTTTCCAAATTATGACCACTTTGTAGCTTATGATTTCATCAAAATAAATCCATGCTTTTTTCTGTACTGGTTGCTTCATGTAGCCAACAGATACACACACCAACACTGACATATTCAAAATTTTAAATCATCAGGAGGGATACTGGTCTCAGATTCACTAAGAACTGAATTCTATAAACATTCTGGAATTTTTTTAAAATTGCATATCAGGCTTGTGTATTATGTATTTGGCATCTGATATACACCACATGTCTTGATAGACAGTGCGTGTTAATATATACGACACAAGCCACAGTGACGATGAGATGTTATTTGCAGAACACTGTTTGAGGGACTAAATATAGCTTAAGATACTGTTTATTTCAGATCATGAGTGTAACCAACCCCAAAGGACAAGAGAAATTTATTGCTGCAGCTTTCCCTAGTGCCTGTGGTAAGACCAACATGGCACTGTTGACCCCCACCATACCAGGCTATAAAGTCCAGTGCATAGGTGAGTTCTTTATTCAATTTATGCAGTTCCCTTTAAATGTCTCAGTGGCTACTGGTCCATCCCTTTACCTGACTGCGTTAGTACCCTTACCCTGCAGGGTTAATCACCTTGCAACACCACTACAACCTCATACCTGAACTGCTCATCAAATTTTATACTGGCCAGCACAACTTCCCTTGTTTGGGTCAGACTTTACTTTTATCATATACAACAGGGATTAAGTGCGGGTTTTACTGAAGATTTCAAAATTTCATAGAACTGTGAGATAGGCTGTCTTGTGCTTGGCCAGAGTGTCCATAAGACAGCTGGACGGCTCACTCACTAAAGCCTTGTTAGTGATACTTAAAAAATGTTGATTAAACAGTTTTGTAAATTTAGTTGGCTTCTCGTCATAAAGGTTATTGAAACACAGGCTGAAGATGATAAATCTGAGAAAAAAAGAAGTAAATTGGATTTATGTAAGAATTAAGTTTTTTGAGTATCTGAAATGTAATGTTTTTTTTTTTAATTGAATCTTCATCTTTTATAATATCATTTTTTTATTTGAAGTTTTATTTTTACATATCTTGCTAATTGTGTTTTAAGTGTTTTAACTGTGTTCTATGTTAAGTCTGCAGTACATTTTCAATGAATTTCAGACTCAAAATAAAATTATTATTTATTATTAAAATTTGAAAAGTGAGGCATTTGAGAGTTTTTATCAATTACTATAATGACATGGTACATGGGCTTGCAATTGGTGATAATGAACTGTTTAATCTGTGTGATCAGTAGTTTGTGTTAGAAATCAGTTCATATTTTAATTGATTTATTTGATATATATTTATAATGATATATTTATTTAAAATAATTATTTTCAGGCGACGACATCGCCTGGATGCGTTTTGAGGAAAATGGAGAACTCCGTGGCATCAATCCTGAGGCCGGGTTCTTCGGCGTGGCCCCAGGGACCAACGAAAAAACTAACCCCATTGCCGTACAAACCTTTCAGAGTAACTCGATCTTTACCAATGTGGCAGAAACTGAGGACGGTCATTTCTTCTGGGAAGGAATGGAAGATAAAATAAGTGACGTAAGCAATAAAAAGTAGAGCTGGTCAACTGCAAATTAGAGCAGGTCAAATACAAATTAGAAATCGGAAAAAAAAAATTGGTGATGTCTGGAACAGGATCTGTTTCACAAAAGTAAACAAACAAACAAAACACACTCACACACAGAAGGAAAGTGGACTATTTTTTTTATTTCAGTTGACCAGTAGTAGTCCTAGTATTAGTTTAAAAGAGGAGAATGGAATGCTCACTGTTTTGGACTACTACTGGCAGTTACTTATATGTATAAGTAGATTACGGTATTTATTCGATCTTTTTAATGGGGGGAAATTGTGAATTTTAGAGATACTGTATTTTTGAAGTCATAATTTCTTAAAATTAAAGCATTTGTATTAAGTGGTAGCAACAAAATTAAAAACAAGCTACTCTATTGTGTGCAGTAAAAGCACCACAAGTGCTTTATAGAAATATAGTTTTTGTGATTATAAAATTATGCATCTGAAAATTTGATAATTTGTGCCCATTGAAAAGATTGAGTCATTACCGTATCACAGATTCCTTCTGATTTGAAGGAAATCAATTTTTGTCAAATAGTTGTGATGCAAAGCCATGCAATAGCATCATTTTGATTCTTCTCTGCATTAAAAGATCCTTAGACCTACTAAGTTTTCTTTAAAGAATCTAAAAGACCAATATTAACCCATAGATAAAACTTAGATTGTCTTGACAAATGTTTTTTTTTTTTTACTCTCATAGGTTACATGAGCCAATTTAGTTATGTTTTTTTATATATATAATTTTTTGTTGTTCTGAATCATTCTTAAAAGCTGCTAGACTAAGGTTGGCTTTGCTGTAGCTGACTAACCAATTCTAGCAGTTTAGACTTAGATTGATAACTTGAACTTTTTGTGACAGCAGCTTTACATTAATTTTTCCCTGCTAGACTAAGGTTGGCTTTGCTGTAGCTGACTAACCAATTCTAGCAGTTTAGACTTAGATTGATAACTTGAACTTTTTGTGACAGCAGCTTTACATTAATTTTTCCCGTAGGATACAGAAGTGGTCACCTGGCTGGGTGGCAAATGGAAGAAGGGGAACCCAGAAAAGGCCGCTCACCCGAACTCACGCTTTTGCACCCCAGCTGGGCAGTGTCCCATAATGCACCCCATGTGGGAGGATCCCAAAGGTGTGCCCATCTCTGCAATCATCTTTGGAGGACGTCGTCCTGAAGGTATGTTTTTTGTTGACTTTAATATGGAACTCCATGCATGCCTGATCTCGTAGCAAATTATTTTTATTTTCATTTTAACATATATTGAATTAATATGTGATATTATTGTCATGGGCCAGTCTTTTGTTATGTCTCGATCTTTGTTATAAACCAGCAACAGGAATTTTAAATGAAATTGCAATTTGTGACTTGGAGCTGCAAATTAATGACTTCAGTCATAATAATACAAATTCAGCAGTGCACATTTATAAATATGAGTGAGTGCAACCTTGAATGGTTAAATTTAGTATGAGAAATTTCAAATGGATATCTGATACTGAATAAAACTGGAGTTGTGTGTACTTTCAGGTGTTCCTCTGGTTTTGGAAGCCTTTGACTGGAAACATGGAGTAATGCTGGGAGCGCAGCTTAAATCTGAGACCACAGCAGCTGCAGAGTTTAAGGGTAAATAATAATGTTTTTAAGTATTTTTTATAAGGCTTAATTTCTCCACAAAAGAAGAAAAGGAATTTAAATAGTGGTAAAAAATATGCAGCTATTCAGATATAAAATAATTTAACACTGTGTTGAGAGCCGAACAAACAAACAAACAAAAAAAAAAAAAAAAAAAAAAGAAGCTAGGTACACCAACTGTGAAACAAGAAAAAAGATAGTGATCCAATTCTTGAGAATGAAGGAAATAGAAAATTAGAAGTGCACAAATATGTAATATATAATAAAGCGATATGACTATCCACCAGGTCTGTCACATGGTTTAGTAAGCATCAGGTTTAAAATGTTCTGAGAATTTTTTTTCTTTTTGTGCACCTTTAAAAGAAAGGTTTCCTCTATCATATCTATCATATCTTTTCCATTGCCAGCTGACTACATTCCTGGAAAATGCCTTTTGTTACTGTTGCCATTAGAAAGAAAGAAAGAAAGTCAGAAATAGATGTAAAAGCCTTCAAGGCTTGAAAGTTCCAGTAGAATGTCTCAATGAAATCATATTTATTGGGTAAGACATTCAAGCTCCTCACTTCAGGTAAGAAAATCATGCACGACCCCATGGCCATGCGTCCGTTCATTGGCTACAACTTTGGTAAGTACTTGGACCACTGGCTGGAGGTGGAAAAGCCTCCACACAAAGTCCCCAAGATTTTCCATGTCAACTGGTTCCGCGTGGACTCCACAGGCAAGTTCTTGTGGCCAGGCTTCGGAGACAACATCCGTGTGCTGGACTGGATCATGCGCCGCGTGGATGGAGAAGACATTGCTGTGGAATCTCCAATTGGTTTACTTCCAAAGAAGGGTGAGTTGGCATATATATGGAGAGGTGCTGGTTGAGTGTTCATTAAACTTTTATGTAGATAGAAGTTTTTATCCTTGAAATTTCAACAGTTTTTTTCCTGAAATACCCACTTGAAGAAAATTTAAATCCAAAACTGTTGAGGAAATTATTATTTTTATGTTCTAAGTTTCCAATTTTGAGTCACTGTTGTTATGGATAAAGACTAATGGATTTCTGTGTGATGGTAAAAAATGGAAATTGTAAATGGGGGTTTTAATTAAAATAGTTTGCAATTTTTTTAACAAGGAAGTCTGCATATTCCAAGTGTTTTGATTGATTTCTGTACATATGAACATTTTCTATGTTCAGGACACAAATATTACACAATTATATATTTGACTCAACATTAAAGGCAACTACATATTACTTATATTCTTTGTTGATAGTTTAATTTTTCATTGAACAAGTGGTAAATTGTGATATAAATTACCTTGTTTTTATTGTAAATGTAACAGTATAAGTTTTGCACTGTAATTCAGAAGTTATTCAGAAGAGGCTATTTTTATCTGTCATAAAAGAGCAAGTGATTTAAACCAGAGCAATTTACTGTCTTGCTTGCTGTCAAAGGGACTTAGCCTGGGTCTGTTAAATGGCAGTGCCAGAGCAGTTATGCAAACAATTACTAGCCATGTAATCTACCTAGAGATGTCATTAAAGGGTCAGAGATAGTAAAATGACCGAGTATTTATCTAAAGACACATCAATGAATATCCTGTGAAAAGTCAATCTGTGGCCCTGGTAGATGGTAGGGTTTAGCCTTGTCAGTATCAATTGCACATTAATTTTATAAAATTTTATAAAAATCTCTTTCACAGGCTCCATCAACCTCGATGGTTTGGGTGAGATAAATTGGGATGAACTGTTCAGTATTCCTAAAGATTACTGGCTGGCAGACATCAAGGAGACCATGAAGTTCCTGGATGACCAGACTGGCGAAGACCTTCCACAGGTTGTCCGCGATGAGCTGCAGAAACAGGCTGACCGTATTAATGCCATGTAGATGTAAAGCAGACATGCGATCAAACTAAAATAAAAAATATAACATTGGTTGTCACTATTGTTCAATTTGACATTATTCTAAGAGATAATATTTTACAAATTTTTAAAGGGCCAGCTTGCAGTCAACAAATTGAGATGTATGGATTTCAGTAGAGGTTTCTTGACTTGAACACCCATAGCGTCCTTGGTCTGGACTCCTCCGCTATTCTAATGATACTAAAGCTTTGTAGTGTAACACTGTTGCCACCAGTAAGGTGGCTATAATTGTTATTAGATGTTGTACATGTAGAAGAATGAAAGAATTGGTTTCGTGATTACAAGATATTACAAACTTTGATTTGTGGCATCTTGTAATTCTTAATCTCTAGACTGGCAGGGAGGGAGTTTGCAATTTAAGATGCTCGTTCGGAGGAGGTTAGTGGCTGGCACTGTGGGTGTGGAAATTACCATGAGATCAACCATCAGGAGTTTCAGTACCGCTGAAGGAAGGTTTTCTAACAGCATGCAAGGGAATGCCACACCCTGATGTCTGGGTAGGTTCATAGAAAGACGCAAGGGGTTTTCTGCTTCTCCATAGTGCCAGAATGTGATTGTTGTGGATAACTTTTGCCAACTTCTCTCAACTTCTACTAGAACTCTCAGGCATGTTGTTTCTCTGTACCAGTTGTACTTAAATATCCATCAAAAGGACACACATATATCTCTACTTGTTATATCCAGTTGGGAATCATGCAAGATTTATTGCTTTTAATTGGAAAGATGCTTTACTCTTCAATGTCTTTCCCCAGGAACGTGTTTGGCCGTTGCCGTTTTTGGCCAAACGAATTGTATGGTATGGAACTAAATCATGCTTTTGGGTGTCTGTGCTTAATACTTGAATATTACAAAATTTTATGATTTATAAGGATACTGTGTGAAGATTTGGACATTTAAAGGCATTTGTTTGATACTTTACTGAAGTACTTCTATAAATTTTTTGTTTCTCTTGGTGCTGTGTAAATATGCCAATATTAATTCTGAAAACTTTATAGTTCTAACGCAAAGGTATGATGATGATCATATTCATGAATGAACTTGTGCCAGATTAGTTTTATTTAACATCACAGTTTAACTGTTGGTTACTGTAAGTAACGGGTGTCCTGGCAGTAAAGGCATACATGGACGTTATATGTATTTTATTTTTTCTGTTGTAGTGCATAGACGTCGTTAATTTTAGTAGTAGTGTGATCAAGGGCGTATATGGCAATTACTGAGAGCTTTTTTGTGCGTAAGAGAATGGAATAGTGTACTTTTTGTCGGTGAGAACACTTGATACTTGTATTTTGGCCGTAAAGTACGGGGTAAAAACATCAAATGAATTAAGCAGACGTGTTTCGTCTCTTACACACACGAAGCGGATGTAAGATTCCCCGCAAGGCCAGCGTTCTAATTTCTTAGCCGGTCCACGCTGTTGCTTAACACATGGCTTTTTGACGTTGCGACACACGTGTTCCTAGATTGGCCAATAAAACGAGAGAGTGCAGTCACGTTGATGTCATTTGTTGACCTAGCGTACCAGGCAGTGCAGTGAACTTGAAAGTGTTGTACTAGTACTGCACCAAAACTACATGTTTGTTCACTGAGAATAAAACTGAGATTAAACCAGTTATTAATTCTTTGTATTATTGTTTTATTTTGGGTAGAGTTAATACCATGGGGTACTGTATTTTGAAAATGAAGAAAGAGAATCTAAATTTTGAAACCCCGGGCTTTTTATAACGCGTACTTCTTATACCTTGACTCTTTCCACGTAATTAAAGGTACAAATGATATATACGAAACAGCGAAATATTGGAGCTGTTCAGAATTATGCCATTATTTCACAAAATGGAATTGGAAACGACATTTTTTTGTGGGTGTGGAATAACCCCTGTTCACACATACGGTCGTACATGTATCTTGCTAAAGTTGACCTTCGTAAGCAGTTTTTTTATCCATTTTATGTGATGTCCAATGGCAATCAATCAGAAAATATGTATACTTTCTTACATACCTGCCAAGTTCACACAAAAAAATTAAACTTTGGATTTATGACTGGTATTTTGGTTAATTCAAACGCCGTCCCTTAGAAATGCCAATATGCTTGAAAATGCAGCGCATCTTTCTGCCATTTTTATGTTGATCGCCTAACGCACCAACTTTAGCGTCAACAGTGACCATTGCAGAATTATTTTTTACAGACAAGTGATTTTCCCGTTTTTTCCTACTCCGTTGAAAAGATGGACTGCATTTTCTCAAGCTATGGATTATTCCATTCTAAAAGGGTCAAACTTTCAATTTGCTAATATTGAAACGATTACTGAAGAAAAACAAGTTAACCTATTTCGTTGCATCCGACAAACTACATTAGTAATTCAGTAATATACCATTTGGCATTTTAGAGCCATGACATGAAATATATTTAATGGGTTGCACAATACGTAGAGGTAAAACTAGTTTTTACATTACGTATATGGAAAAAATACCGAGATAATGTTTTGGCTTTTTACTTCTTTGATGTGCTATCTGAGTGATACACATCTATTCTCATTGCGATGAACAGTCCAATAAAGAGTTTTCGACGTGTAGCACATTAGCAACAGCGTGGGCGAGTATACGTTTGGCCCCATTACATGTTCTACATGTTCACCAGTGTCCAAAAGGTACCATTAAAATGCTTTTAGGATTTGTTTTAGCTGTCCGCTTGAAGTTATAATTTGATTATCCATACAAAAATATAGATATGCAAAATAAATTATTTGGGCAATACATTACCGAAAATGAAAACAACAAAAGTGAGTTTTTGCTGTGAAATCCATCTGAAGGTTATATGGTCATAACTGAGATATCACAAATAAATGATTCTTTAAAAATACATTGGTATATTCAAAGCTTTTATGAATTGTTGACCTTTAAAGATTAAAATATTTTAAGATTAGAATTGTCAAAACTGTAAGACTTGAGGACGCACACGTGCACTCACACGCGTGCGCGCATTCTGACACATGCGGCACATGCGGAGGAATGTTTGGACCTGAAAGTGTGTGCTTATTGATACTCGTACAGAATAGCAACTTAATGGACACAAAAACAGATGTCTTATTGTTTCTTCATTCAATATGCTGTTTATTGTGGGCAATGTAAAACTACTTGAAAATATTCATCATTTTAGTATACTGTACATATTATCTAAAGTCATCACTGAGAATAAAATTGGAGTCATTTGACTCTCTAAGTCAGAGTCCAGCACCCCCTTGACCCTAATAGAGTTAATATGACTCCTATATAAGGGTCAAATTACCCCACTACCAGAGTCTTTCGACTCTCTTATCAGAGTCAATCACCCCCTGGCTCTCATGGAGTCAATCTGACTCTTAAACCAGAGTCAAATTACCGGGGCCAGAGACTGGCTGACCCCTTTTACCGACTCTTTTTCGCTCGCTGGACAGTAAGCCTCGTTTCAGCCATTGTGACCGCAGTGAGCAGACGGCGCGGAGAGAACAGTTTTCATCGGCCTTTGTAAGTATGAACATTACTTTATTGGACATAGTTGGTTTTATGCATAAACAGGTGGTTTTCTGTGTGTTTCTGCATGCAAAACTCGTGCACTTATTACTGGCACGGGCTTTCAGTTGCCCACACCCTTTATGTGACATGTTGGTGTACACAGGTCAGCAAGTTTTGTTTCCAGGTTGTAGGTTTGACCCGCCAATGCATGTCACTGGGGAGGTATGCTCACTCATTGATATATATATATATATATATATATATATATATATATATATATATATATATATATATATATATAATAAGCGTGAGTGTGGAACAGAGTGCTCAACAGTCCGGAGCATGCTACTCAGAGCATATATATATATATGTCATGCTGCTGTTTATTATCAGATTTACAAACTGAATGTTATTGCTGTTTCAACACCATATGCGACCGGATGGCCTTTATTCTCAGTGATCCTGTTTGAGCCTAAACCAACATAAACTTTCATTATGTTTTGATTGTGTACAAATAATGACTTTTGAACTACTTGATACTACAGTATTAACTTTCAGAAACATAATGTATGTCTGTATTTATAAGTAGTATGATCTTCGTTGGAATGAGATTGTGGTCAAAACGTAAGATTTTACGTCCTGTTCATAATTTATGTTTTTTTTTTCATTTACAAATGTGGGATATTACATGCCTGGCTTCCAGCTTTCCTATCAGTCATCAATTTACATGTTATGTCCTATGTTTTAGTTCTGCTTTACCTTTTAAGCAACAGGAAACACAAAATATAGACATTGCCAGAGTGAAATGTGCGCTTTGAGCGATATGTCCTCTGAGTAACAAAACAAGCGAACACGCAACCCATATTTCAAAATACACATGGTCACGTGTTCTCATAATCTGCAATAAGCTGGCAGATTTTAAAAAAATCCGATCCTGACATTCCAATTGTGAAAAGACCATTCATTATAATTTAATGGAATTCTGAAGTAGTATTACCAAATGACATTTCTTTTGTTGTATACTAGAATATAAGTTTGTTTTTGATGAATTTAGATTTAAACCTCAGTGTTTTTTATAAACGCAATTTATCAATAGATTTCGATTAAAGCTTCTTTCACAAACAAAGTGGTGTCATGCGTTTTCTCCGTCAACGTCACACTCCATTGAAACAGTGCGTCCATCTTTCATTACATGCAAACAAAGGCAACGATACAGTGACGGAAAATAAGGATCCTTAATATTAAAAAATTAAGTATCAACCTCGTTACTACTGCCATTTCGACAGGCGCCAAATATGGTATTGTCAAGAAGGAGCTGACGAAACTTCCTGCTACAGAGGCAGTAGATGATAAAATTAGTAGAAGCGTTTATTACCAGTAATAATGCACTGAGTTGGTAATAGACGGGAAACCATTGCGATGTCATGACACTTGGTTGATCCACGTAATATAGTATCTGTAATATAAAATCACACGTCTGGCAACACACGAACACTAGGACCACGCCCACCAGCATTGACGTCATACCGTTGTTCTGTTGAATTCTCCCCGTGAGCGAGACATGGCGCCGGTTTCTGTTCCGTATGGCAATGATAAGACTCGAGTTCACAAAAGTCAGAATGGCCATGGGAATGAAAAACATGACCAATGCGTTTAGTATCATGACGTACAAGTATTGGTATACCTCAGACGATGCCCAATCTCGTGCTTTGGCCAAGGGTACCAAGTGCTCGAGATGTATGTCAAAACAGACGCCGAGTTCCATTTCAAAAAAACGGGGTACGTTGTAAAGGACTGTGGCGATAAGAACAATAAGCACGTTCCTTTTGGCTTTCCCCAAACCGTTGATACGACGAGACCCTGCCTTCCAAGGCCGACACACCATCATGTAGCGGTCTGCCGTCACCAGCACTATCAGCCAAATACTTGCCTGTTGTGATATATACATCAGCGGCTTCACTGCAAGCATCAAATGGGCGTATATATCTTTATAATGTGGAATAACTCCGGCATACATGACTATCCCAAAGAGACTTAGGAAGAAGAAATGACACAGCAAATACAGGGAGTCCGCGATCGCTAAAGCCTGGAGAGTGTACGAAGTTGTACTCTTTGGCGTATCCTTGCAGAGCACCAGGAAAGAGATGGCGTTCCCTATTAAGCCTAGTGTTATCAGTGGTATTCCTGCGACCGACTGGACGTAGAATAATAAAGAAAATTCCCAGGGTCCTGTGCCCTGTCCCTGGCAAAGGGCGATGACGTTTTCTGTAGTATTATTCATGGTGACATTAACCCTCAATGATTATCTGAAATTTAAGCATGTACAGTAAGACAAATCATCTATGACAAAAAGCGCTTTCCGCTCTTTTAGAACGTATGATTCTCTGCAAAAAATTTGCAATCTCCTGGGGTTTTTGTATTGTATTGAGCTGAGATTACCAGAGCTATTAAGTCAAAACGCTTTGTACTGTAGGTAAAAACACAGTGCCAAGCATAACGGTGGTATTTTATTGGATTCTAGAGATTACGTTTTAAGTTACTTACCTGTAAATGAAGTCTGGTCAGTTTATATCCACCCGGTATGCAATAACTGTATCTCATTCACGCGTACCAGATTCATGTCTATAAATAAGGGAGGAAACAGGAATAATTTGTTGGTTACTTTCCACAATTGGACAAATGTCAACTACATCTGAAACTGATTGCTTACTTGCACTCAGATCAATCGATGCCCGCCACACAATACAGACAAGCATATGGGCTTCGTATCATACACTTCTATAGGATTACCAGGCTTGAAACAAAGATTATAAAATTTGAGCTTCTAAGGTGTGAATATTATCTTCAGCTACTGAAATAAATAAAAGGGCTCATTACCAATGAAACCATTGTTCTAATTAGATCGATCCAACTCCTCATGGACTCTCGCTGAATGCAATCAGAGTAACATATTAACACGCCTCTTCTTGGCGTTTATTAGAAAACACAAATGCTGGTTATTATACGAGCACGCTATTAATCTGATTGCATTCAGCAAGAGTCCCCCGGAGTTGGATCGATCTACATAGAGCGATAGTTCCATTGGGAATGAGTCCCTAGAGTTTATAATGTCCGGTCCATGCTTAATGAACGAACTATGGACCGAATATTGGTCGTAACTTTTAGACAAAAATACTATAGTTTCCTCTTGACAATGGTTTTGAATGTCAATCTTTTTAACGTAACGGTTGTCATTCTTTCTTTTTGTTATAGAAGTGGAAGTGGACCGGTGCCTCGTTTATAAGTAAAAACACTATGAATTTCAAGTAACGCGCTCGTGGTTAATTCATGATTTAATGGACGGGAAGAATGGGCTTTAATCTACTAATTGTCATCATAAATATATTGGACAAACATCCACGCCTAAATTATCTATTACATGTGCCAAGCAGTTGCATGTTTAGTGGTCTTTTATGTACCCACAGTAAGCGTCTATGTTGTTCAGCGAAATATCAATACTGGCAGAGATAACTACGAAACAAAGGTTACGAGAATTCTCCCTACTCGAATACAAACTTCAACATATATCTCATAATTCGTAGGTATTTTAAAGCCAATATGATGTTCCACTTTAAACTAGCTCAATAAAACAAACACGCCAGGTTTTAAATGCTTAACAAAATCAGAAGAAAGAATAATGAAAGGTCGAGTGGGACTGTTCGCGACAAAATGAAACTCGTGCACTGAAAAAAATGAATAAAACCACTAGAAAAACTTTAAATGAAATGACAAAAATATTAAAAAAAAAAAAAAAAAAAAAAAGTATATGTTAACATCGCAAATGTTGTGCTTCAATATATGTGTCCTGATGGGATAGAAGATTTGCATAAGGTTCTGCAATTTTCAGCTAAGATTAAATGTACACCCAATCATTAAAAAACGAACAGATGTATATCAAAATATTCAGCTACACGATGCATATTAATGATATTGTCTCACTTGTATACTGGCATTCTTCACCCATACTTTACAACGGCTTTGACACTCACTGCAGCTGGCATGGTGTCTTTTCAAGCCCTCACAGATTTCTCAAATGGCGAAGTCCAACAGAATTGTTCTGAGTCTCAGCGTAGTTCGACTTGTAATGAAATCCCTACCACAGACCCGAACGCGATGTTCGGAATTGGCGAAGTTGAGCGGAAATCGACGGAGCACCTGTGTTGTTCGTTTATATATGCCCTTCTGTCTATGCACTCCTCCCAATGTCGACCAGCCTTAACTTTCCTGTCGAATATATATCGGAACAGCTGCGAGCCAGCTATGATATTGTACTAACTGCTTTTAGTGTAGTGGATGGAAAAAGTTGGCGGAATGGTTTTCTAACAAGCAATTTTCTTTCATTACAAGGAGCAAAGCATATCACTCTTCTGACCTATCATGTGCTACATTTTATCAATATTAATTTATTATTATTATTGTTATTATTATTATTATTATTATTATTATTATTATTATTATACTTCCGTTGCGTACAGAAACATAAACGAATACCGGGAGTTTTAAAATCTTCTTGTATATACATATACATGTATATGAACATCACTATAGCCATTTCCTTCAGATAGTGAACGGCCGTGATTACCGAACTGATAACATCAATTAAAGGGATGATATATGTATATACTTATGGATTCTTGTCAGTCAAAATGTTTTACCAGTGTCATTTCTCTTCGGCTGGTGAGTTAAATCACATTGTAACCACACTAATCTTATGTACGCATAAATATATGTCTATACGTGAGTGTGTTTGTATGCATACATGTGTGTTTGTGAATATTTGTGTGGGTGGAACAATGTATATCACTCACTCTCTCTTCTATGTGTGTCTATGACGTTGGCCGTCAAAACTGAATTAACCCGTCAAAACTGGAACAGGCATGTTAACGCACATTTGTCGAAAACGACATTTAAGTATATTATAAGTTTTATTTTACTCACTTTACTTAGTTTATCATTTTATTGGTAAAAAGTAAATGCACTTGGGGTTACAATTTTTGATATCGATACAGTCAAAGGGGTTACTAAAACGTGCTTTAATTTTGATTTAAAGACCATTTGCTGAATTGTGTGACCCACCATCCCAAAACTGATTCTCTCAGAGTCGCACAAATCAGCCAGAAAAATTATTTAAGCTTATCTACTGAATGTTCGTCGTGAAAAATTGTCTTGGTCTTTTTATGCGTTGTGTTATATGTTTTATGTTTTGAAATAATGCATCGTGTAACCCTTGAACTTTTCTAAATCGCAGTAACCATTAATATTTCCTCGTTACCTCTACTGTTAATTGCCTGATGATTACCAGAAAATCCCATTAGTCGCTAATTACCCTGGTACCATGAAAATAAGCACATTTGTGTATTTGCTAACCTTATCACATCCGACTGCCGCGCATGGTACGCTTACGGGGAATGGAATCGGTTGAAAATGCCATTATGTGTATCGTATATCAAAATGTTTCCAATGATTTATTGCTAGTTGGATGCTGCGCTGGTTTCTTTGGCATTTTGCAGATAGATATTATCCTTCGTTGGGTTTTATTCAATGGATATCCTCACACACCATGCCGATAGTCCATTTACAAATGACTAGTCTGAGTGTGTCGTCGTTGGAGGTGTGCTCGTTACCCTTTGGTGTTTCTTTCTCTTTATTTTGCCAACGGCAACCCAATTTGAAACATGAACACCAATGATTTAAGTTTTTAGCTATTATTTAGTTCGATAATTATCACATTCCCGTGATCCTCATGGAAGTTTATTTTAGTTCTGCCATTAGAAATATCTGTTTTTAAAAAAAAGCGATATGGGAACCGTTTTGCATTGTGTACATTTACAAGCTGAATTTTCAAATAAATAATGTCACATATATTCTCCATAAATTCTAAACAGTTTTGTCTCCCCTTGGTCCATTTATTATCCAAGGGAAACTTGAGTCCCATATTCAACTCAGTAGAAGGTAAACTTCAGTCCCATACTCAACTCATTAGAAGGTAAACATTTTTAAATGAAGTACACTTACTTCACAGTTGGGTGCTTATTGCCGAAACTTATCATTAGTTCAATGAAGTTTGTAAACATACTTTGTCAAAATTGTCAAAATATTTGCATTGGAACTACACGTAGGTGTGCTGTTTTGTATCAAATTATAATACATAAATTCGTATTTCCAACAATAATTTTCAGACAAGATAATAACGCAACTTTGGCTATTTTGTTGTATCACAATATCAGTAATATTGGAAAACGTACAATATGCAATATATGGTGACTGAAAATATAAGCCAAACGATATTTTATGCTTACTGTTTGTCGTCATGTAACACTCCAAACGAGAGAACCGTGTGCAGTTTATTTGACAGCCTTTGTACTAATGTTTACTTATTCATTACATTATCTTTTTGGGAATATTGTGCTAACAGAGCTGGTTTTCCTAACAAGGCCTTTAGCTACGTATCATTTATTCTTTTCTCTTTCTGTGGTCATGACGCTATTGAATACAAAAGCATTTTGAGCAGAAAGTAAAATGCAGAGCGCAGAAACCATTCTGCCAGTCATTCGAGATCTTAGTTCCCTCTAATGTTTCTTCTGGATGTAATAAATGTAAGAAATATATGCCACTGACAAATCACTATAAATCATCTGTGATGAGTTTTCCCTTAAGTAGGGTCATTTAGCAAAATGGTTCCACTAATGGTGTAAGACTTGGTCACATGTGATAACGGCTATCATGACANATATGTATATATTTCTACATAATTTCACAAATTGGCGGCCATTTTGGATTTTTTGGCCAAACGGTAAATTTTTTCCGTGGGCTACGGCTCTAATTTGATTAAGTATATCAAAAGGTACCCACATGCAAAATTTGGTGCTTTTATCCGCCGTGTCACGATTTGGCCATTTTTTTGGCCTAAGCAACCGGACTATAGAGATTAGTTATTTAAATGAAGTCTGGTCAGTTTTATCCACCCGGTATGCAATAACTGTATCTCATTCACGCGTACAAGATTCATGTCTATAAATAAGGGAAGAAACAGGAATAATTTGTTGGTTACCTTCCACAATTGGACAAATGTCAACCATGTACATGTGAAACTGATTGCTTACTTGCACTCAGATCAATCAATGCCTGCCACACAATACAGACAAGCATATGGGCTTCGTATCATACACTTCTATAGGATTACCAGGCTTGAAACAAAGATTATAAAATTTGAGCTTCTAATTAAGGTGTGAATATTATCTT